GCGGAAAAGTCACCCGCCATTAATTTGATTTTTAATGAACTTTTCGTTTTGAAGGCTATCCAGTGCAGTCTTGGAAACGTGAAGCCAATCAATAGTATTGACAAGTGGGACGAAGAATCCACACAGATGTTTTACCAGCTTGCAGCTGATCAATTAGTGTCTGCAATAGCAACTGGTAAATTATGTGCTTAATATTTTGAGTATTCAAATTTCAGCTGTTTAAAGTACCTTTCTTTTTTTTCCCTGAAAATCAGCTTTTTATAGGTCAGTGTCTTAACACCTGTACAACTTTATGCTTTAGCAGATATTACATAAAAACTCTAGCGTACAGTATGTGTGCCCACTGATTGACTTTGAGGTATTTTACAAAGACAGATCACAGAGGGAGTTGTGAGCTTAGGCGTTGCTTCCGATTATAGAGTTAATGATTTTAAAACAAATGTTTTTCAGGCGTTGTTACCAAAAACCGTATTCTTCTAGTTGAGTTGTTTGTAGCAGTTGATGCCGACGATAATGTGGATATCGGTAAATATCTAGTAATGGAAAACCTGGCGTACTTCAGGAGCAAGTAAGTTCTCAAATAGTTTTTTTGTCTTCTGTATTCATTTTCAGAGATTCTTGAAGACTTTGAGGTTTATATTTATTTGAGCAGGTCAGGAATAAAGACTAATCTTTCTCCTATAACCTGGAATTTGGTGTTATAAGTATGCTATTAGTTGTTTGACTGAAACAAACAAGATCTTCAGAGTTGGAAAAATAAAAAAAAATGCAGTGACCATCATTCTCTTGATGTAAAAGGAAGGCTGGCCTACGTGTGGAGGTCAGGCGAGTGGTTATTTTGCAGAAAGTCAAGACCCTTAATAACTTCTGTTTCAGGATTGAATTGGCCCCTGGGGCTCTCTTTTCCTGCTTCGATGACTAGTAAATGACAAAGGCTGTTTTTTATTGCAACTTCTGCCAAAAAGTAAAAAGTTAAAACGCGGACTGTAAATCTTCTTTTTAAGCAGGATATTTGAGAGCGGTAAACCGCTGGCTCTTGGAAGTGAGGTCTGGGATCTTCCAGTTGAAGGGATTGGAGAAGTCGCAGAGCCAGACCTGCTGGCGGAGGAGCAAGACGGACCAAAGAGCAGTTTGTTGAACCTGGACCTGGAGCTCCCTGACCACTTAAACGACCTCCGAGCACGAGTCTGCCATGTGACATCACCAGGAAGCTTTTTCGTACAGCTGTTTCAGACTGACTGTCAGCTTGCCAGGTAGGTCATCTCCAGTTTAAAGATCCTGCACACAAACCGGGATGCTGCTCTCTGGACCCAGACTGCCGATCTCGTTTGGACAAACCGGGATTCTCGTAGTCACTGCCCATGCACCACTCTTTCAGTAAAAGCCTGTGGGTGCCCCAGAATATGCAAGTTTTTCCACAACGCAATATGCACCACATGTTTAGCTAGTAGAGAGGATTACTATAGAAAAGCGTTTTCAGTCTCTGTTGTCTTTTTTTTGTTTTTTACTCCGGTCTTGTTTTTGTTACTCTTGTTTAATGGATGATGAGATGAATCACCTGTCCTTTCCTTGGTCCTGCATTGTGGTTTTGCCCTTGAGTTGCATGGGTGGTGTGAGCTGGGAACACCGTCTGCCATAAAAGGATAAGTGTCTGGACAGGTCCAGTAGGATATTAATTATATTGATTGTGTTGATCAGAAGTCACAATCTTCCTAAGAGAACAAGTGTTTGTGCCTGTGGCGGGAACAGTTTGGCATAGCTTGGCAAAGGGGTTCAGTGAACGTTCCTGGATATCGCCACATCGTCCGCCTGGGAGCAGGAAAGATGCATTCACTGAAAAAATTAACTTTAATTCGGTGTGTTGTGGAGCAATTCCCTGACAGTACTGGGGGTTTAGATGGTTCTCGTGGACATGTGGACTTTTTTGCCTTGTTTTGGGATGATTTTTAGGCTTAGGTCTCCATCTAATAAAGTCTGAGTCTAAATTATTAAGAACTGTAATACTTCCTTGTAAATAGTTAACAGAGGAATATCAAGTCACCGAAATCCCCCTGCTGTCATCTAGAAATGTTTAAATTGTAAGCTGATGTCTACTGTGTGTCCACAGACAGAGCCTTCCTCTGGCCTCTAACTGATTTTGTGCTCACTGTGTCGTGTGACTGGGATTTGAGATGTTCTGTTTACGTTCGGGCTCAGCACAGATTTCAGTGTTTGGGTCACGGGTTTCTGAATATTTCAGGATCCACGCGACACTGAAGGAGAAGTATTCCCATTCCGACAACGTGCTGGTGAAATGGAAGGAGAACATGCACTGTGCCATGCTGATCAGTGGGGTCTGGGAAAGAGGACAGATCTGCAGTATTGAGCCTGGAAATGTGGCACAGGTAATATAACCTGTATCTCACTCTGTACCAGTGAAGGCATTAAAGGGATTTCAAGTACGATTTACCTTGTAAATAACATTGCACAAGCTGAACTGAATTTCAGGGTCTGCATAATCTGTAGAAAAGAACAAAGGGGAAGCAGGTTTTTCAGGACGCCGACTTTTTCTTTCTTCGAAGACGCGTTATGTTAAAGATCAGTTAAAGTAGCTGTGCTTGAAAGATGACGTATTGCTGGCACTGGCTCGGATGTTGAAATGTTTGGAATTGTAAATAAACTTTTGTTTTTTTTACCCAATATAAAACAGTCCATCAACGTCTGTTTTATAGATCTGTTGATGCAGCTTTTAAATTGAAAGCCTTTTCTGGACTTCACGGTGAAGGTTTGGGAGAGAGAACAGCAGCAAAGTTCAGCTGATCTTTGCCGCCCTAAAGCCTGATCATTTCTGACGTTAAATTTAACAACTACACATACCACATGTAAATCCCTTCTCTCCCTCGCATTTTTCTCCTGCCTCCTGGTCCCACAGCTCTCAGACAAGCGGGTCGAGCCAGACCTCCCTGCTGTAGGACTAAACCCTCAATGAAAAATGTCAGTACATTTGATTCTTGGGTATTATTCCTAGTGAACAGTAATTTGCACTGTCACTTTGAATTTATTGCATGTCACCGTGATGATATTATAATAATAATAATAATAATAATCAACTTACTTTTATATAGCGCCTTTAAAGGTGGCTTCTCAGAGCGCTTTACAGAATGACAACAATAAATAAAAAGAATACACAAGATAAAACACAATTACAATACACAGAGGAGAGAGTGGATGGTGGTACTAAGTAAAGTAGGAGCAGAGGGGTGAAGAATGGAACCAGTTCAGTAAAGGCTCTTCTGAAGAAGAGGGTTTTGAGTCTGGATTTGAAGGAGTTTAGAGAAGGTGACTCTCTGATATCCTTGGGGAGAGAATTCCAGAGCTTGGGGGCGCAGCAGGAGAAGGCCCTGTCACCCATACAATGTAGATGGGCTTGGGGGACAGAGAGGAGAGCAGAATTAGAAGAGAGAAGGCTGTGAGGTGGGGAGTAGGGTGATAATAGTTCAGACAGGTACTGAGGTGCCAAGCCGTGCAGAGCCTTATAGGTGAGCATGAGGATGGTCAGGATTCTGGTTTGAACAGTTTGTTCAAAGTAGATTTAGATACCCCAGCGAGTAGATCATTACAGTAGTCAATTCGAGAGAACACAAATGTGTTGATGAGCTTTTCAGCCACAGTTAGTGATAACATAGGGCGAAGTCTAGCGTAGTCTATCTAGAGATATCTCTAGAAGACGTAAAGGATTTATAAAGGGACTGTAAGCTTATCTGTTGATATCTGTTCCAACAGTACTTGTCTCTTTGTCTTTCTGCCAAGTACCACCAGATTTGCGTGTATCTATCAAGCCGTATACTGCTCTTTTCAGAAACACATGTAGAACAAGGGAACATGTTTTGTACAGAGACATTCAAACAGCTTCCAATAAATTCTTCCTGTGGGAAAAGGGGACCTGAAAATGGCAGAATTATTCTGTTGTTTAATATAAATAACGATGATGATTATCATTTTAAGTGAGAAATAAAACCACAATGTACTGCTAGACCATTTGTCTGGGACTACTTTTGATTCACATGTATCACACGGTGATCTGTGTCTCTGTTTTCTTGTCTCATCTAGTAGAGGTTTATGGACCTAGCAATTAACTAGGAATATTTCATATTTTAATACCATGCTAAACATGCTAAATAAATGTCCTCACTGGGATAGGCTCCGGCTCAACCGCAACCCTGTATTGGATAAAAGCTCTTAAAAAAATGGATAGATGGATGAATATCATAAAGATTTGTTTTACCTTGTTAAGACCTGGTTTTCAACAGAATAAGATGGGCTTAACAAAGTCTACTTTGATGGTTTTCTTCAGTTTTGAAGACTATGTTACCAGTTCATTAGGTGGTGTATTTTTCAGAATTTTCTTTTTCTGAAATGCAAATAGAGATTGTTTACAGCATTGATTTTTTAAATAATAAAAACAAGGAGATTATGTGGTAGTTCATGTAGATCTCTATCAGAGGTGACTCACTGCCTGGGGTGGATGCTTTTTTCAAGTGTTTTCTGAGTGTTTTTCCCATTAAATACGTTCTAGGGTGTTAGACCTCTCAACAGTTACCCATTAATAACGTATTTGTATAATTGGATTGTCTTCTTGGTTCACTGGGCTTTGGCATTGTGATTTCACAGATGTCACATCCAGTCACTGATAATGACGAAAACCCTCTATAGATTGTATCAATGTCTTGACAGTGGAATATACACACTGAATTATTAAATGAAGATGCAGAATTTCAGCCAATTAAAAGATGCATCCTATCGTAAGGACATACATTTTCTAAACAAGGGGAGGCTATCTGGCTCATTTAGCACATTTAATTTTTAGCGATCTGAGGATCTATAGTATTTCATTTGTTTCTTGAACGAACTGGTGGTATCAAATTCAAACACGTGACTGGCGAGCTTGTGTAAAGTGTTCTCCTGTTCTCAGTTTTGAAATCTCTTTGCCTATCTTCCATTAGCGAGCTCTGCTTCCCCTTCCACTGTTGATTCTGAAAAGGACCTCATTTTCCTCTGTCCTGTGCAGGTGAGACGCTGTGATTATGGGAACAAGGTGTCTGTGCCCTTCACTAACCTGAGACCACTCAAACAAGAACTGATTGGATGTTTGGCATTAGAGTGTTCCCTGGAAGGCATAAGGTATTTATTTTTCATCTTTATTTAAACTGGGTAGTGCAACAATAAATTACCTTACACGTTTCATTTATTCATATTATTTATTTGAATGTCAAATACTCTTGTAGAATTCAGTAAGACGTAGTTTCTTTATGGTAAGGAAGTAGGCAGCACACCTGGTCTTTGACTCCCCTGGAAGTGCATGTGTTTCGGGGAAGATCAGGTCTGGCGGTATTCCAAAATAACCTGTCCTTTTCCTTATCCTTATCCCAAGCAATTTAAAATCCTGCAGGTACCAGAAGGCTAAAGAAAATAAATAAAACCAATACTAGCAGCACAGATTTAAATAACCAAAACGGTTTCTCCCCTCGGAGCACCATGTAAAAAGAGTAGCTGATGCTCATTAGTCTGGAAAGGGTTTCAAAACCATTCCTTACCATTTGGGGATCCAGCCATCCGCAGCCAGACAAGTAGTCTATAAATGGAGAATATTAAAGACCTCAGTGACCCTTCATAGGAATGGTTGTCATTTTCCATTGTGTCTGTTAAGCCTCGAGTATGATTTGCCTTGACTTCGGGTATTATTATTGTGGTCATCTGCTGGCTCAATGAGTGAAGGCTCTCTTGTTATCCGGTTCGGTGTCACGTCCCAGCAGCACACCTCCTGGTCTAGCTATTGCCTTCCTTTTAAGATCACTTTATTGGCCATATACAATTTCTTGCATTGGGAATTTGTCTTTTCTCATACCCCAGCTTGCTCTATATGAGACACGCAGACAGGGAGAGAAGCTTGGGGTCAGAGCGCAGGGTCAGCCATTTATAAGGTTAAGGGCCTTGCTCAGGGGCCCAACGGAGTAGGCTTCCTCTGCCGGCCGTGGGATTTGAACTGGCAACCTTCCAGCCCCAGGTGCAGATTCTGAGCCACAGAGCCACCACTCTTGATGGATCTGCTAGGCTTTTGGCACCAGGCATTTCTCTCACACGTCTGTGTTCTTCACTCTTCTTTGTCTTTGGCTAGAAAGTGTCTAGCTCTCTCTTTATTTAGAGATTGCCTGGTTCTTTGCCTCAGAAACCTGTCTTTTTTTACAGTCCCGCCGGAGATAGCTGCACCTGGTCTGCCACAGCATGCGACTTCATTTCCTACTACTTAACTGGAGCGATGGCATTCATGACCATAAAGGTATGGATTTTGAGGGTTAGAGTTTGTTGATTTTCAACACCCTCGGTAACAAGAGCTGTGGTTTAAGAATAAAGTGGACTTTTTAGAAAGCTGTTTTTTTTTAGATAGTAGAGTCCTCTTCACGTGATATGGATGCACTAGGATATGAATGAAAAAATATAGTGAAGTTGTATAAGTAGATGTGTATATATATGGATTTGTAGACATTTGGTAAAAGATCTTAAGGACTTTAAGGATTTTTTCAATTATTCTTTAAAGTGACATATACCAAAAGAGAATCTATTGTCACGTGAACTGTTATACATATTTTGCCTTTATGCAATTCACTGTGATCCTCTGCTTTCATAGGAGCATGAAGAAACTACAGGTAACTGTAACTGGCACTTATGATTCAGGGTGTTGACGTAATGTGTGGGGGAAAAAAAGGCTGGCAAACCTTGACAGATAGTCACGTTTGTTGAGAACAGGAAAGACAGCTTATGCATGAAAACTGGCGAAGGAGCTGGAAATCACAGCAGACATACAGTGATCTATTCTGGGATCTGATTTTATCCTCAATGCATGGTATAGCAGAAAAGTCAAGCACAGGGGTAAGGGATGCTTGAGCATTGACTGTTTTAAATGTAGCTGCTCACACTGGGGCTGTGGCTGTTGAAATAACTCCATGGCTCTTTTAGGTGACTTGTACTTTTCTCCCAAAACTTTATTAGATGGGATAAGCAAGCTAAAAAGGTAGTAATTTTTGCTAAATCCAGTAACAGATTTCTTTAATTCATAGGAGAATACAACTAAACGGCCATTGCCAGTAACCCTGTATTGTTCGAACAAAGCTGGCCAAGACGTCAGTGTTGCAGATTACCTTGTTGGAGAGGGTCTGGCTTTAAGGGAAAGGAGGTGAGAACATTTTTCATTTTTATTGACAAAAGCCTGTTTCCAGCAGGCTTGTATTACTTTTTTTTTCTCGTTGTAAAATGTAAAAACCCCTGGGGGAATTCGGGTGTAGAACATAATACATTCGCTTCTTTTAATTTAAAAACCTGTACTGTGGTTGTTTAAAGATACATTCCACATAAAGAAAAGTCGCCAGTGAGTGAACAGCCCAAGAAAATCTCTTCAGCGGAGGACTGTGTTGCTGCAGAAGCTCAGTGTGCAACCCAACACAGAGCCCCCGATGTGCCACGGGCCTCTCTACAGACAGCGAAGGCCTGGCCTTACCAGCCCCCTGATCTCCCTCACTGTGGCTTCACCCAGATGATCATTACCTCTGTTGGGGATGATGGAGCGATCTATGCAATGACCAAGCAAGCAGGTATGTGAGAACAAAGAAAAGACCAGGCTGGATAAAGGTGTCTGCTGGGATTAACGTGGCCTACCTCTTCATTTCCTGATCAGTGAGGTTACTGGGGGGGAGGAATATTGAAACGTTGAGGTATACTGCTGTCTCTGTGGCACATCAGTCCCGTGAGTCACATTTTCTGTCTTCTCCCCCCACCTTTTCTCTCTGAATTCAGCTTGCGTGTTGAAGAAACTCAAGGAGAGCCTTCAGCAGCACGTGAGGAGCCAGCCGCAGAAGCTGTACAGCTGGAAGCAGGGCGATGGCTGTGTGGTCGTGGGCTCTGACATGCTGTGCTACAGAGGGGAGGTCCTGGAAGTGATCGGTGGGCATGTGAAGGTCAGCGGCGGGCTCTCGGGAGACCAGTCCCGCTGGGTTTAGCTGCCCCCTCTCAGGTCCCGCCTGAAAGGCGCACGACACCTCTGCCCCTTCCAAGTAAAGCTTTGGTATTTGAATGAGCCATGAAACATGATTGGCTCATTTTAGACTTTCTGGGAGGGGTTTGTGTGCCGGCATGTAACCGGCGGGAAGGGTTGTGGGGAACGACCGGGAGATGGGATTGAATGGTGGGATGAACTCTTGCCTTGTCCCCGTGCGGATGCCCAGGTCCGGTACGTGGACCAGGGGCTGGTCGAGCACATCCCGGATTGCCACCTCGTGCCCGCGGTTCTGCACAGGGACCTGCCACGGCTTTGCATTCCCTGTCAGCTTCACGGCGTCGCACCTGTAAGTTTCACTCCAGTACACACAAGAGTTTTTAATTCGGCTCGGAGGGAGGTGGGAGGTGGGGGTTTGGGGCAAAAAAGCACGAGCGCGCCTCGTTAAATACAATTTCCGTACGCCCTCCTTTTTGGAGGAGCAAGTAAATAAGCCGCCTGTATTCCTGGCTGTGCAGAGTCCTGGTGTCCGGCAGCACTGGTCGCCAGGACTGTGTGAGTAAGGATGAGTCAAGTGGGTGGGAGTGTTGGAGTCTAGCGCTTGCTCTTGAGGAGATCATCTCTCTTGACTATGTAATCTGTCTTGAGTACGCAATCGGGTCTGGGTTATCAGGACAAAGCCACTCTTATTCTAGTTTAGGTTCTATTGTCCCTGTATTGTTACCTGCAGGTCTTGTAGGGCTCAGACCCGTAAGTGATGGAGCTACATCTTAATTGAGTTTGGGTATTGACTGAAGGAAGGTCCTCTATGGACTCGGTTGGTTGTTTGCTCTCGGAATAGGTATAGTGCCCTCCTGATCTGCAGTGTATGCTGATGTGCTGTTTTTGTTTTTAACAGGTCGGGGGTTATTGGCAGCCTGATGCTGTTGCTTTATTAAAAGAATTACTTCTCCTTAGACAAGTTAATGTGCAGATCATGGTATGTATGCCGATTGTTGTCAAACATAAGGCAACAAAGGTTCTGTGAGCCTGTATGTCCCGTATTCTAAGCCAACCGAACAGTCGATAGAGAATCTGATTAATGGCCAGATTTCTGACCTTGCAAGCCCACACTTTCGCAAACAAGAACTAAATTTCTAGCCCACTATTGTAGCCACTCTAAGCAATTTGTAAAACATATTTAAGTATCTTTAAGCATACCGTTGTCTGTATCTTTTTTTTATGGCAGAAAAAGTTTTAACAATTGATATATTTTATAATTCTGAAATGTTTTGTGCGTTTCTGTTTATCTGGAAAAAAATGTCCGTAGAGACCATTTTTGAAAACGGGAGCCAATACCAGCGATAGGTGGACAGGAAGATGTTATTTTGGACACAGTGGTTGTCTCTCACAACAGAAGAAGGGTGATAGCTTGTAAAAGTAAAGCTGGTGTGATGTCTGGGCCTGTAAGAGCTGGTCATGAGTGCGCTGTGCCCTTTCTCTGCCTGCTGCAGGAGCGGCCAGCGGAGCCCTGTGGCAGGATGACCGTGCAGATTTACTTGGACGCGTTGACGCTGGGCGCGATCGTGCGGCATCACCAGCATGCCCTGCTGTGCCCCTCGGTCACCGAGGCAGAGGTAGGAGCTCCGTCTTCACGGGGCAGGACACCGGATCGTACAGCCGACGTGTTAAACGTAGAACCTCAAGGAATGACTTCTTTACACAAAGGGCTGCGGGAGTCTGGAACAAGCTGCTCGGTCACGTTGAAACCGATACACTGGCTACTTTCTCGAAACAGCAGCCGTTCTGTTGAGCATGCATGTGTTCTTACAATTCATTTTCCCAGTTCTTATGCCAGTTTGTGTTCCATAAAAGAAAGAATTTTAGAAGTTTTCACAACCCACCGTATCACGTTTCCAGACGTCGCCTCCAATTCTTAGTACTCTGCTCTGTTTTATTCTGTATACGAGTCATTTCATGTCGTGACCCGAGGCCTTTTGTTTTAAATACATGTCCATGAGCTGGCCACGGTGCAGTCAGCCCTGCTAAAATCCTTTCAGTCTTGTTCAGACAGGGAGTGTTTTTGTCTGTCAGGGCAATCTGGTGAATTCGACTATTAATGAAACAGAGGACTGGGATTTGAACTACGAGGTAAGACTATTGCTGTTTATGCTCCTTTAATAAAGCTGTCACTCTTATTAGGATTGCTCTGTAGCTGCCCTGCCTCTTCTTTATTGTTCAACTGGGGTGGTGTGCAGTACCCCTATTTAATGAAAATTGTCAGTGAGGATTGCACTGAGGCCCTGCAACTGGGGATCACCTGCCTTCACCAGAGTTGGTACAACTAAAGGCCATTCACCTTCTGAGGGAATAATATAGTGAGGATCTGTGTGTTTACTTTACATCTGGATGCCTGCGGTTTGTTTGCCCTCTTGCTGGTACTGTTCCGAGAGCTGCTGGTGCCCCCTTAAAGCGCCCCCATACTCGTTCTCTTGGAGGGGCTGGAAGAGGACGGACCTGTGGCCGGGCGATACACCTACTCAGTGCTGCCACAGGAGGGAGATGTGTTTCCTGCCGCAGTCAAACACATCTGCACCCCTGATGAGGTACGGAGCCAGCCCAAATGAGAGACTAAATACAACATCTGCTGTGGCCCAGAGGAGCTTAATAGATGAACTGAGAGTGTTTGTGTAGTGAGTTATTTTACTCTTTCCTTAAGATTATTGAATGTCATTGGATGGAGGGTAGGCTGGGTGTACTCCAGAGTGAATAGCAGAAGCTGCCTTCTTGCCGACAGCTGCTTCCCAGGCCGGGCCCTCAGTCAGGGGGTCACTAACGATCTCCTCTGCACAACCAGATGTTCCTCCTGCCCTGTGGGGAGGCTCACCGCGCGCCTCCGGACGCTGGAGGAGACCTGGACGAAGCTCTGGACTGCGTCAACGACAGCGCTCACAGCCTGCTGCCGCTCTCCGACTTCGTCTCGGGTAACGGCCGGCTGGCGGCGCCGTTTCCTTTCCGCGGACGCGCAGGACAGTCTACGACAATGAGCGCTTATTGTGTTCCTGAGCTCTGCTTGCCTTCCTTTTCTTGCACGGCCCTGCAGGGGGCCCTTGCTTGGCCGAGTACAGGGACGGCATGTACTACAGAGCGCAGCTCCTCCAGATCGAAAGTTTCAACCCCGTGAAGATCCTCGTGAGGCATGTCGACTATGGCTCAGACGATGTCTTGACCACAGACTGGTAAACTACGGAGTTCAGTCCGGACCCGTTTTTTTTTTCTTTTTTCTGGAAGCCTCTCCACACGAACAAAGTCAGTTTATTATCCAGGCTCCCGTGTTTTTGCAACTCGTTTCTTTCACTGCCTAATGTATCGCGTTTTGATCTGCAGTACAAATTGTTTGTATGCGAGATGGTTCAGGTTCTTCAGATATCGTAAGCTTATTGAAGACCCAAGCCTCTTGGCATGAGCAGCAACACATGACCGTGAGAGTAAAGATATTGCATATGTGTCAGCTCAACTCACTGCATATGCAGTGCTTATTTTATTGAGGGTACCGTCACTGAAGATGTATTATAGACGCAGACCTGTTGACAAGAGACGTGTTAGCTGACTTTCTTCACCATGAAACTCCCAACCCCTGTTGACCTCCTGCAGTCTGCCTTAATTACTCAAAACGTCTAGACCCCCCTTTAAAAAAAAAAAAGGAAATCAGTTTTTTCCGGCAAGTCGAGTGACGTGTTTTATCTCTTCCAGCCTCCGTGAGATTCCTCTGCAGGTGCTGAGGTTCCCGTGTGAGCTGCTGCAGGTGAAGGTGGCTGGGATTAAGCCTCCCAGGAATGATGGCGAAACTCAGAGACTTCCCTACCGACCAGAGTGGAGCTTGAAATCCATGTATGAGGCGATCGACCTGCTTCAGGGCAAGCAGCTGACCGCCTACATTGTGGTGAGCATTTCAAATAACTCTGGTCGAGCCCAAATATTGGAGAGCTGTGGCAGGCAGTGTTGAATAATTAAAAGTAAAATATTTGAATAGTAGGTACTTTATTAACATATGTTAGGTTCCCAAAACATATAAGAAACTAGGCAGTTTCCATACGAAAAAAACATAGGTCAAATTTGATTAAAGTGATTTTCCATCCTGGGGCTTCCTAATCAATTAAACAATTTCTAGGAAGGTGAGTATAGGTCCCTTTGATCAGTCAGCAGCCTTTGCTGTTACAATATAAAGCACAAATCTTTATTCTTGAACTGCAAACATGATTTTCAATGCATTAGCTATTTTAATGCCTGTTCTACGGCGCATCCTTTTTAAATTTGTTGGTAAACTCATTGTATAATTTATTTAGTATGTTTCTACTGGGAGTTTTTTTACTTTTGTTTACCACTTTGCATCATCTTTCATTACTTTAAATCTAATCTAAAAGATTAAATACTAAATCTAATAAAATACTGCCTTTACTATACACATGTATATAGTTTGTCCTGATGCAGCATAATGTTGGGTCTTTAGTTGGAGAGAACAAGACCCAGACAGATTAATTGCAACTGTAACTCTAAAGAGTGAAGAGAGCTCTGTCTCAGACAGAACAGAATTTATTAAAAATGTGCAGTTTTACTTTTGCGTGCAATAAGACATATTATTGAAATGCTTTTTATTAAAACTTGAATAGGTACAGAAGTCCTTTTGCTTTCATTAAGGTAGTTTGCTGTATTTGTTTAGTTTTTTTTACCTACTGTATATTGAGTGCTGGAGTATACATTAGTTTGAATTTTTGAAAATTGCTCACGAATAGCATCATGATTTTTTAAATATCTGTAAAATTCAGATTTGTATATTTTTAAGTGATATGATCACAAATGTATTCCCTATTGTTTAATTGGACAGTTAATGAAATATATTTATGATGGGGGATGTATGATATAGCTCTGAAGTAATCTGTAAGATGGACACTGCACAATTTTCAAAATAAACGTTTTGTTTCACCAGTCAACAAAACCTGCAATCAAAGCACATCTATTTGATGAAAATGAAAAAATGGTTCTGTTGCCACTTGTGGACAAAGGTCTTGCAGAAGCTGAATAGAAGAGGTTAGTCTGTTTTCACACTTTCTGTAATGTTCACAGTTGTCACTTGTGTCCTTTAAGTTAAAGGTTGATAATTAGAGTATTGCTCAAGAAAGATGAGGACTCATTTATACTGCTCTGCAATAATTGTCCTAAGCAGTTTCAGTTTAATTTTGCAAATAGCCAGGCACCTTTTACACAATTGAGGACAAGCAAAAGGACAGTTTTGCTGTTTAGAGTTGTACTGCAGCATTCTCCAACTTGACAGTGTTTTGAAGTTATAAACATTTACCTAAAACAACAATGTATCTATTCTAATTGAGGAAAGTAAAATGAATCTTATTTCTAGTTGGTGCAGGTATCAGTGGAAGATAGTGTCATTCCTCCATTCTTTTCAGAATCTGAAGTGACAGAAGGCTATTCTTGGATACCCAGGCATTAAGAGAATCTTCTCTCAAACTACTCTAAGGAAAATAGAGATGCATTTTTTTGTTTCTGCTCTATTGTTTGCATGGGTGGTGTTTTAGAAAATGACTTTTGGAAGGCAAAACTGTTGAAAGACCCTTTATTCTAAACTTTATTTTCAGTGTAGAATGTTGCAACTTTTCTGTACAATGTAAACTAATTCTGAAAAAAACTTACCCTCCGTTTATTTCCTACTTCAGTGCGTTAGCAGACACGGCTAAAATCTTTTCCTGTTTGTACTTGGGTGTTTTATGTTGATAATGAAGAAATCTAGACCATTGATATGGTTGTACTTTATTTTTGTTTGACATTTAAAATAAAAAGGTTTGACATGGAGCAAGTATAATTCATGAGCAGAATTATTCAGTTTTATGAAGGAAATGGCTATAAGTTAAGAGCTCCCATTTTGATTTAGTGAATAAAAATAAATTACATTTTAATATACATTATGTACACTTCATTATAAAACCTCAGACGCAAACTCCACTCCTTTTCACTGCACACAACACAACGTGGGGACAATATACCAGTACAGTACAGCCAACTACACCACTCTCTTAATTCTACACACAGACCTTAGACAGGGCACTAATTAGGAGTAAAGAATTGATTGTGAATGAGGAGACAACAGAGCCTGCTCAGAGTCTACTTTTGTGTCCATAACAATATTCCCATCCTTGTCCTTGATTCGAACTCTGCCGGTAGGGTACTTGGTCTCTTGCTGGCCGTTGGCGTACACAGTTTTCACAGTTCCATCCGGGTACTCCCGCCTCTTGTACTCCGCAGTGTGGACTTCCCTCTGCCCGTTGTTGAATTCGATGACTTTGCTACCATCTCTGCAGCAAAGGAACAAAGAAAATGAGCGTTTTCCCATGGAATTTAATCTACATTTTTTCCATCTGAGAGATACAACTAAACATAAATAAATCACGTTTTAAGGAAGAGAGGGAAACGCTGCATTTGTGAGGACTTTTGTTCTTGCTCGTAGTAAAAAAAAATGCCTTAGTATCCCATAAAGAGGCCTGGTGGTTATCCAGTAATTGAGAGGGCGAGCTGAGAGGAGAGGGGATGGTCCCAGGATGCTGGGCTCTGCTGTCGAGCCCGCATGAGGCGTCTTGGGTTCATTGATGAAACACTGGTGGGGGGCTGTGCACCTGAGAACCCAGTGAAGACCCCACTCAGCCTTGACACTTAAGAAGGTAGAGCTTTAAGCAAAGGAGGCAACTGGGATGCCAGCGGGATCTTGGAGCGCACAAAACAGGAAGCACCTGTCAAGAATCCCAAGTAGCAATGATCCCGTCGTGTTCAAGATGTATTGAGTGTATTTACTAACTTCGACTTTTTCACAGGACTATTTCAAGATGCGTCCAACATGTGCATGTTCCGAGAAAATAAACGTGGAGAAATGTGTAGATGGGCATCTTGGACATAGAAGGAACATCTTGAACCAGCAGCAAAGCCATCTGGTCCTCCCCAAATTCAGCCGTTGTAGGCTATTTCCTGCTAAGTAGATGAGTAAAGAACAAAGCTAAACTATTCATATTGAACCAAGCCAAACTCTTTACGGAACTTACAGCTTTACTTGAATGATAGTTCCATCAGGAAACACACTCTCCTCCTGTCCATCAGGATACAAATTCTTAATGGTCTGGTCAGGAAACGTGATTTCTTTCCTGCCATCGGGGAAATGCTTCTCTGTTAAAAAGGAGAAGGGAAATAGAGGGTTAATTTTGTACACATTCAAAGTTAACTGCCTTCAGATGAATCTGAGATGATGGTATTTGGAATGGAGTATTATGGGTCGTCTCATCCCCTCCATCATGAGTTCACACACACCTCTCTGTCCCCAGATGTAATACTGATAGGTACAGGAGCTCTTTCATCCGCAGGGCACTATCTCTTTCAAACAATGGAACCATCTTCTGCCTGATCTTGTGGTACCACTGTTGCACTTACACCTTGTTTGGTTAAATTTCGTCTGTCATTGCATTGCTATAGTGGGAGTGTGCCGTGAAACAGATTTCCCCAGTGGGACAATAAAGCAATGAAAAAAAAAAGAGAAAAGTACCTATTTGATTATTGGGAAACTGTAAGACCTCCAGGCCATCGGGGTAGGTGGTATGCGTTGTCTGAGCATCAGCATAATAGTACACCTAAACACAGCAGCCGAGGCCGCAGAAGGGAAGAGTTTGTTAGAGAGAAAAAGAGTTTGTTGGGGTTAAACATTTTTGTTCTGCAACAGCAGAACCTGTTTAACCCGACAATGGGATTAACTTTATCAACCGTGATTTAATAAGCGTTTCCTGAGGCATGTAGATCAGTTTGATTGTTCTTCATCCTCACCTTCTGTCACAAATCAAGCGTCAGTCAAAATGTAAATATACATCTTCAGACAGTTCTGAAATACAGGCTACCACTCAGAGGTATCCAGTTTTTCTGTTCAGAGGTAAACTGGCCTTTTCTTCTCTCCCTTGGAAGAGGAACAGTAGCTAAGTACTTACCACTCTCTGATCCGCCAGTATTTGCTTGACATCCCCGTTAAAGAAAGTGACTTTAACACTCTTTCCATCAGCCATCACCTCCTTCTGGGTACCGTTGGGGAAGACGATGACTCGGATTCCACTCTTTAATACTTTTTCTATCTGAAAAACATGTTAGGCGGACCTCTTTTGTCAAGCATTTTATTCTTGGCCTTCAATAATTAATATAAATTCACTGACGGCTCGGGTTTCAAAATCTCTTATGAAGACTTGAGTCACTTGCAAGCGAGGTCATACTTTTCCATCTGGATGAATGGTTTCCTCCAAAATTTCTCCATTTTCCTCGACTCCACACAGGTCTTTTTGTGGTTCGTCAGTCGGTACTGTGCTCTGCAATATAAATAGTTGAGCGTTTGGATATTATTACTCGTGCCGCCAGAGCCAGTTAAATAAAATAGTATGAAAATGGATTCATCTGCTTTACCCACCTACCAGGATTCCCTAATGAGATTGTAAAGGTCCTGCCTGTGTTTTATTGCGATAGTACAGTCCCAGCCTCACCCATCATTACTTTAATTTCTCTCCACCTTATTGAATTGGAGATATCATGACTAAAAGATTATTGTAACGGGTGGACAGGAAACCTGCTTTTCACATTCCACAGTTCACCTTTTCAAACAGGCAGCATTTTAGTCAAATGAACTTTATCACAGCATTAAAACAAGCCTTCAGTTACTTTTCTGTAGGAGTGCATGCTAAAAATAACATTTTGTAAGTATGTCATTGCAAAATAAACAGTTCCACCTACAGAAAAAAACTCAACCCTAAACTATATTTCTAGGGGGTCACGCTGCCTCTTGATTTTGTTTGACTTTCTTCTATTTCTTTATTATCTGAAGTCATTAACTTGTAAACTAAGTTTAGATTAAGAAGCAGAATCCATAGAAAACACCCACTGTTCAACATTAAGAACATTACCACTCATCAATGGCCAGATTCTGACCAGTTTTATAACTGCTTACCGATACCGTGTCGATGTTTAATCCACATCTTGTTGCACAAAAAATCCATTACTGGAATTACTTCTAAGACTTGTGGTTCTTGTGGCATAAATGTATTGGTATAAATGATTTCTGAATGCAGAAAAGATCTTACTATGCTCTAATTTCAAAAAGTAGTACTCACAGCAGGTAAGACAACAGGAGACTCTGGGTGCAGTTCAGTTTTCCTCAGTTCAGACATCACCTGCTCCTCTATGCTGGACACAGCTGTGGGGACTGGAACAGACCTAATGCTGTTGACTAAAACATTACAGTAATTGTTCAGTAAGCGGGCATTCATGTGTGAAAAAAAATTCAAGGACAAGCATCATAAAGCTGAAACCCAAGAAACATTACAAAAATCCCTGGCTACAATTAGGGAAGAGGTAGAGAATGAAATATTAAATATTTGTTACATTCCAAACCAAATGTTTATTAAATGAAACAGCAAATTCAGACAGAACACAACTTTGTGTATACAGTATGAATAATGTGACGCACATATCTTTGAAAGTAAACTCTGCTTGATATTCTGCTTGCCACCTACAACCCTGTAGCTCCCCGCTGGCAGCCCACTGGAGCCCAGCAGGCGTGAGCCTGGCCAGTACCTGGATGGGAGACCTGGGAAAAACTAAGGCTGCTGCTGGAAGAGGTGTTAGTGGGGCCAGCAGGGGGCGCTCGCCCTGTGGTCTGTGGGTCCTGCCCCAGTATGGTGATGGGGACACTATACTGTAAAAAAAAAAGTTGCCGTTCTTTGAATAATGTGTAAAACCAAGGTCCTGACTCTCTGTGGTCATTAAAAATACCAGGGTATTTCTTGAAAAGAGTAGGGGTGATAATCCCTAGTTTTCTGGCCTTTACCAATCCTGGCCTCCTAATAATCCCCATCTCTGAACTGGCTTCACCACTGCTCTCCTCCCCACTGAGAGCTGGTGTGTGGTGAGCGGACTGGCGCATCATCCAGGTGGGGCTGCACACTGGTGGTGGAGGGGCAGTAAAGTGCTTTGAGTGTAGTGTCCAGAGGTGGGCTATACAAGTGTAAGGAGTTATTAATTATGTAATGCATAGGCAACTTCCCCAAAAGGAAACCGAAGACGCCCTCTGTACCTGTACCTTCTGCCACAGTGCTGTTCTCCCTCGCTGTCTTGGTAGGCGGGGGGCTGTTTGTGGCAGTAACCTGGAGACTCTTAACAGATGAAATACACGTCGCGTTACTTTCAGCTGCATCTACAAAGACCGAAAGCGATCACATGTTTTGCCAAACCTCGGTAACAATGTTTTGCCATCGGCAGCTTCCTACATTTTAAAGACTCAACTGGACTGCCTTCACCTTTTGTTTCTGAAAATACCCCAGCCAGTTTATCCCTACTGACACGAAAAGCAGACACCCAGGGAGGAGCTACTGTAAGGCTGGATCCAACACTACACAACCGGTGCCCCAGGAAACACCTGCCAGCCAGTTGTCCCAGTACTAGTGCTCACGGGGAGTGAACAAAGTGGTATTATTCTAAAACATTAAAGCACATTTGCATAGAAATACCCAGAAATAAGAGGTAACATTCTGCACTTTTGCCTCCAGTCCTGATCTTCTCATCTCAAACACAAACCACTTGGACATAATACAGCAAAAACAGTCATTTGGACTGACTTCACTGTCCCAATACCTATGGAAGTGTGTGAAGTTGCAGTACTGTATGTGTCACCTCAACCACGATTCCTGGTGTCAAAGACGCACAATTTCACAGTCTTCCTCTGTTCCAAAACCAGGCGGTTGGATGAATAATGAAAGATCTCATCTCTTTGTTCTGTTACAGGTCAGAAGTACTGATCTATAGCCAGATGGTTAATGCCGATTTTTTTTTTCTACGTCAGAGATACTATTACTTATTCGACTGACACTTTTATCCCAAGACAATTGAAACATTTGCCCCCATTTACACAGCTGGGAATTTTACCGTCACTATTCAGGTGGAGCTTATGGAGGGAACCGTCTCTAAAAGTATTAGCAAAATAAAAATTGTAACCGTTGGCCGTCAGCGGTCAGCGTGATCCCGTCGTTCTGCACCT